CACGGGGATCCCCGTTCTTGGTGAGAGGAGGGCGCCTTCTCCGCGCCCTGGGGAGGCGAAAGGAGGCGCGTCTGGACACGAGATGGCACCGCCGCCGAATTGGGAGGCTTCCGAAGATCCAGGAATAAAGATGAACAGCAACTAGTCCTCCTAGCTGTGTATTGTCTCCTGGATCTGGGTGAAAGACCCCTCAAGACCAGGGGCTAGAACCAGAAGAGGCTGCTCCATCCTGGTTGAGGGCTTCCTGCCGAGAACTTCTGGTGGACCACCAGGGGAAAGAGGAGGCTGGTGGTCCAAATCCTAATGACTTTCACATCCTAGTACTGTTTAGGCTTGAGTAGACTTTGGCGCTACAGTACTTCCTCTTCCTTGGTCAGAAGTCAAGGAGCCGTTGCCAGAGCTATGTTTCCAAAACAGTCAGCAAGTGCAGGCTGACCCAGAAGAGTCAAGAGCCCTGCCCAAAGACAGAAAGAACTGAGACTTGCCTTTATGTAAAAAGATGCCATAGGGAAGATAATCAGGAACTATGTTCCATTGCTAGAGAAACGAGGGCAAAAAATAATGGGTGCAAGTTGCAGCTATCTTTATTTTGCTTAAATATAAGGAAAAAACTCTCTCACACTAAATTCTGTACAACTGTGGAACAGTCTAACCCATGGAGGTTGTGGGTTCTCCACTTCAGGAGGGCTTTAAGAAGAAGCTAAGTAGCCACCTCTCATGGATGGTTTCAGTGGTTTTTCTGCCCATTGCAGAGGGTCAGACTAGATGATCCTTGTAGTCTCTTCCAATTGTACAGTTCTATCATTCCACTTTTTATCATCAGTTCTGCCCAGATTATGGGAATGTCCTCACAGAAACCCAGAATCAAACCAGCCAGATTGATCAAATTGAACATTCCCTAATTTGTGTGTTCTGAACGGGGTTGCTGTTCCCAGATGGAGCAGGTTGGCAGCTTGAGAATACGCCTGGATCTCCATCTGTCCTTGGATTTGCAAGTGGCAGCTGTGGGGAGAAGTGCACTTGGCCAATTACATTTAGTGCACCATCTGCAACTCTTCCTGGGCCAGTTAGCCATGCCTTGGGGATATAACCCATCTCAACTACTGCAGTGCACAATACATGAGGCTACCCTTGAAAAGTGTCTGGGTATTGCAACTGGTGACAATATCCAGGTAACTGATGGTGCCAGATGTAGAGATTGTGGGATTTTTATACTGGAAAGTTATAAAATACTGGCACAGGCTCCCAGATGCTGGCTGGGCACCATTTAAAGTGCTGCTCCTGATCTTTAAAGCAGCAACGGGTTATCTGCTGGACCACCTCTCTTTCTGAGAACTTGCCCAATTACTTAGGTCAGCAAGAGATGCCCTTCTGACGATGCCCCCATTGCCAGAAGCTCAACTCTCGGGAATGCAGAGAAGGGTAGCTCCCAGATTACAGAACTTAAGGAGGTCCCTTTGGCTCTCACTTTTTCAGTGAGTGGATGGTAAACACACATCTCATGGCCAAGCTCTGTTGATTCTTTCAATGGCTGGTTTTGATTTTAATCGATTAAAGTTGTTCTGTTTAACACCCTGTATTTCTTGTTGCTGTATTCCAGGGACTTGAGTGCTGGATAAAACCAAAAGGTGGATCAATTTAATCATACATTTTTAAAAGTAATATTTCCTATTTTAGGCATGTGAATAATACTGGTAATAGTCTTCTATGTGGTTATAGCTTGCATTTTATCTATCAGGTTATTAATTAAAGCAGGCTTTTCTATCCTGGTGGTCCTTTCCATGTTCTGATACAAGCCCCAGAATTCACAGCCAGCATCTTTGCACAGCTCAGTGCTTTGGCTTTTCCTCCCCCAGAGTGGGTGATTCTCCACTTATTTATTTGCATTGGTGAGAACTGATCATCCTAGCTCTTCTGGGGGGAGATTTCCCCCTGTGTGTCAGTGCTGTGGTGGGCCTATGTGTTGGGCCTGAGTCACACAGAGACACAGGAGGTGGCTTCTTGAAGGCTGAGTAATTTCATTTTTTCCCTGCATTCTAGGAGCGAATAATTTTAGATGTGAGGATGAAACATTCTCATAGAGGAAATGGTGCATCTCACTTATTAGATGTTTTGCGAATGTTGACCTAATATAAACATGGTGCTACAGGACAAGGTGTTCCCATCAAATTCTTCAGAATGAATGTGTCAACTTTCATATGGTCCCTGGCAATCTTTGAAAGGCTATCTTCTTGCATATCTACCTGCCTGGTTTCTAAGATCATCTTCCAAGTGACTTCCCCACCCCCACTCCCTTGAGATCAGTTGGAGCAAATGGCAATCACTGAGAGAGTTTTTCAAGTGGTAGCCTTAAAAAAATGTCCCTACATATTTAAACCATCACTTGGCTATTGCTTCTATTTTGGTTTTATTCTATCTATGTTTGCTTTTTTGCTTTTATTGATGTTTTATCACACTCTTTTATGATATATTTATTACACTTATTTTGACTATTGCCCAGAGATTCTTGTCTATTGAAATGCAGTGAATGACATCAATTGCTTGAGGATGGTCAAATTTTGCACAACATGCTGTGTGATCTGGTCGGGGGCTTTTTAAGATAGCTTGACCTGTGTTTTCCTGGTGCTTTTTTCTAGGCTCCCTTAGATTGTTGCAGACTGACTTGGCCTAGCACTGGATTCATCAGTTGGACAAGTTAATTGGGTTGGGCAAGGAGAGGAGAAGTAAATTCTCCACAAGTGCTCATTCTCTGGCTATTATGCAAGACCAAGTCTTTCTCATCTATGATATTCTTTCTGCGAGCTAGAGTTGCAATTTTACTCTAGGCCAGTGTTTCTCAACCTTGGCCACTTTAAGATGTGTGGACTTCAACTCCCAGAATTCCCCCGCCAGGATTCTGGGGGGTGAAGGCCACACATCTTAAAGAGGCCAAGGTTGAGAAACACT